CTTAGAGCACCCACAATGCTTTGAGTCTCTTAACAAAAAATCACATGCCATGTAGGAAATAGACTTAGTCTATAAAAAAATGTCTACCAATGCAATTAAAAATAGACATGGTCTACTTTATATGGCAATAAAAAAAAAAGAGGTCAAGTCCATACTTGGGTCTATTTTGGACCCAAGTACAAACCCAAACACTCTTCATTTTTTCTTAATTTAATATTTCTTTTAATAAAGAAAGCATATTAGAGCATTTTTATTGGTTGACATGTATACTAGACCTAGTATTTTATTTTTGCATTGAATAACTTTTGAGTTTTTTTACTTGGGTTTGTCCATGTCATTTAGGACTTAAGTCTATTTACATACCACATAGGTAAAATTAGACCCAATGCATTGTGGATGCTCTAATAGTTAGTTGGGTCAAACTCGGGTCAGACTCGCCATACATTAATTTCTAACAAAAATAGGTATTTACATTTGAAATTTCGTATTTTATTTATTTTGATTTTAAAATTTCATATTTCAATTCAAAATATAAATATATTTATTAAAAAAATATGGTTGTTAAACTGTTAGACTTGTCTTATCGGAGATTATGTTCTTTTTTACTCATGCTGTTCGTCGATTCGGTTCTTCCTTTATTCGGAATTTCTTTTCTAATCTTCTTAGCCTTGCTCTTGTCTTTATAGAAATAATGTCACTATCAATTGAGATATATTAAAATGTGTCCAATCGCCACGTGTCAAGATATCATGATCTTTCAAACGAATATCATATGCATGGTGTATGTTAATCTTCTGACACATTAATTGACATGGACGGATCAACTTGAGGCCGGGCTGGGCTGAAGCCCAGACCACTTTTTTTTTTATCAACTATTAGTTTGGAAAAAAAATTATTATATTTTTAGCCCAGTCTAATAAACGAACTTATTAATTAAGTCCAAAAACTACTAACACCACTCTAACAAAATATTATATATTGTTGATCCACTTTTGCACTAACACACAAAACACCAATATACACCAAAGTCCAATTAAATAGATTAACCACGGGCATGCCCTTCCTCTGAACACCGGAATAATGAATTTAGAAGAAAAAAAAAAATGAACAAGAAAGAGACTACTTTCATGAAAACGATTTAATTTCTTATTTAATAGTAAGTTATATTTTTAGACTCTCTATTAGATATTTATTTATTTGTCTAATTGCCTTTATCTATTTTCTCATTTGATTGCAATTCTTGTTTTATGTGTGTGTGTTTTAAATATCTTATCCTCTAATGTGGTTATTGTATATCATAGTTGGATATAATTTATAATGTGTAGACATTTCATTTTGCTAATAACTATATCATAAGAACATATAGATTAAAAGTTGACCTTTATTATGGCTCTGGTTTTTAGCCCAATTTTAAATTTCCATTTGGCACCCTTGTTAATTAGTAACATAAGTTTAAAGAGGGACAATAGTTCATAATCACTAATATGTGAAAACATTTGTTATGCATAAGTATATTATCACAAATTCGAATTCGTCAAGCGTCATAATAAGTAAATGTGTCCACTTATAATCCCTCCCTATTATTATATCAGAACATGTTGAGCCTAAATGGCAGATTTTCATGCTTCGTAATATTGTTTATATATTCATTTTTGCTCTAGAGTTAGACTTTGTATTAGACATAAATAACTTTTTTCAAACTTGGTAAGTGTATATTTAATTTTGTTATTTTTTTTTCCTCTTAGTACAATTTCTTACTTAGTTTGGGCAAGTAGCAATCTTACCATATTATAATTTTCTCTCATATTTCTCTCATAAATTACGATTTATAAATCCCTTCTGCACTGTTTATTCCTATTTTTATTTTCATTAATTAGTCTATCAAAATTTTTAAATAAAAAATTTATTTTAGTACTAACTTCTATCATATATTTTTTAACTCAACACCCGTGTAATACACGGATATTGTACTAGTGTTTCTTAAAACAAAAATGAGTATATGTATCACAAACTTATACTTTATAAAATGACATTTTATTTTTAAAGAAGGAAGTGTGGCCTATATTAATTTACTCGAGCACATGATCTAATACACCAAATCTTCTCTTAGATTCTGTTTTTTTGTTTGGGCAGCTTCAATCCCATCAAATTCCAATTTTGAAAATTTTGAATGCTCATTCCTCGTCGTATATCGTAATTATGTCTCTAAGAACTATCAAATATTGTGAAATTGAAGGTTATAACTAGACTACTATCTCAATCATCAACTGTACGGAAACCATAGGCGCTAAAGTAAAAAATTACACAACCAGAATAACTGTCCCCATTGCCTAGTGTTGATATAATTATTATTATTATTATTATTATTATTATTAACCTTTCTATATATAATTTTAAAATGCGCTGAGTCTACGTGGCAAACTCTCATGCTTAGGAATCCTATTTGGCAAAACATCATGCTTTTGGAGTTAGCTTTTGATATAAATTAATATTTTTTTATTACACTAAATCCATGATTGATTTTTTCCTTCTTTACTTCTAAAATTAAGTTACCATAAACTATTTTATGTTTCATTTTCTTCCATTACCATTCATCGCATTTTATTTTCTTATATAATTCATTCATTAGTTTTTATAAATGTTTTTTCTTCTTATTTTAAGATTTATAACGTTTTTTTGTATTTTATTTTTATATATAATATATCAAATTAACTAGATTTTAAGGATTTCGATTTGACATCCATATTATATATATAAAATACAAAACAGTAATATATATCCTTATAAATAAAATTTAAATTTATTTATCAAACTAAGTTAAATTATATAAAATAAAACTATAAATTGTATTATAAAGTAATAGAAATTGGTATGTATCCTTTTGAAAATGATATTTATTTCAAATCTAATTGGTGTGTTGTCAATCTAATAAAAATAAATAATTATTTATCTAAATTCTAAAATTATATATAAAGTTAAAAAAACTGTGAAACACGATTGATACGACACCTGATGTATTAGACATCTAATTAAGTAAAAAAATTAATCTATTTTTCTTATTATTAAATAAACATATTCGACACTTACGCATATACATATCACCATATTATTTCTATTTATTTAAGATATATATTTTTGTACTTATGTAATAGTAAATAATATTGATGTTTTTATAGGATATAAGTAAAAAAATTCAACCGGTACTTTCTTGGTCACGACCAGCTACAGCTAAAGTTTGATTAAAAAAATAAAATTTGACAATTTAATTAAAACTCAAAGTAATGTTTTATATAAAATTAAATTATTTTAATTTTTTAAAAACTAAAAAATTTAATATTTTTTTTACAAAAATTTTCTAATTCAACACCTGTGTAATACACAGGTATTGTACTAGTTATTATTATATTGAAACGATAGATCCATTAAGAAAAAAATGTGATAATTATTAGAGAGCATCTAACATTGCTTAATCAAACAACTATAAAATCTTAATTAGGAGAACTGCACACAGACAACTTGANGACTAAAAAACTCCAATAATGGAGACTAACAACGCGAGTGAATAGAGAATAACCACTAGAACAAAACAAAAAAACAAACACATACCTACAAGTTACTAAATAGAATTCACCCTCCTCATACACCAATAGACCTCCACGGCTAGCGACAACTAGTGCTGTGAAATTAAACGAGTATAGCACGACTCGGCTCAAGTCGACTCGTTAACGCTCGAGTTCAGCTCGAGCTCGAGCTTAAGTTCATTTAAAGCTCGTTTGGTTAACTTTGGTTAACAACACGACTCGATAAGGCTCGAAAAATAAATTTTTAAATGTTTTTATATTTTTTATATAAATTCAGCTCGTTAAAGCTCGAGATCGGCTCGTTAAGGTTTGAACTCAACTCGTTAATAGTGATAAACGAGTCAAGCCAAGCTCGAGCTCGATTTCTGGCTCGTTTATTTAACGAGCCAAGTTCAGCTGGACTGGTTTACGTGCCTACCGACAACCCACACCAAAGTAAGAGGCAAACCCTCAGACAGAGAAAACCACAAATCATGACTTAGATCTAAAAACTCCAAACACCAAATTAGCCCAAATACGAGTAGGAAATTGAAAATTCAAATAAGTTATCGGCTAGTCAATTCTAGTAAATCCACAGTCCCTCCGAACCAAGGATCTGACTCGGATGCTCGTCACTGCCCCCACAAGTGCTCTGTCTCCTTGACTAGCAGCTCTGTGAAGAGGAAGAAGAATGACGCGAGGTTTGGCTCTGAAACTGGTCGAGAAGGCCAGGCTCTTGACGGAGCGGAGACCATGGTGCCGAAGCCGAAAGCCTAGAGATGTAAGAGGGGCATGGGGAAGCTGGAAGAAACCTAATTCCAAATTGTTGGAACATAATGTTTTCCCCATGTAAAAATAATTTGGGCATAAGGCATAATTAAGCACAACGTGAAACTAAATAAATTTGTAAGTTTCAGTTTTCCCTTCTTCCCATCCACTCGGAAATTCTCTCTGTATGGACGCTATTCTGTAATATTTAGGGCATGCTTGTTTACAAATTAGTTTACTCACATTTATTTAATACTTAAAATCTAACCCAACTTTAACTCAATCTCGCTATCTTCAATATTATTCACATAATTAAATAATATAAACAAATCATTCTTAAACATCACATCAATTTTAATTCACTATTCATCCACTCATATAATTTTAACTACCTATCATTCCCAATCATTTATTTTCTACTTTACATCAAATCAATTTTAATCATTTTATTTAAAAAAAAAAAAAACTCATTTTAACGGATTATTTGATAAACGCCTTTAATCTCTCAAGATACACAGCGAACTCCCTGAAGCAAATTCAGATACTCCATCAAAAAACCATATCTCTTGGCCTATAGAAAAACACAACCATATGCAAAAACCTTATAAATCTACAGTCTCGATCGGCGCCCATCAGTCTCCGAAATTAATTTTCAGTAGTATCGAAAGCCCATCGGACATCACGCTATGGAACGGACTAATGTCGGATTATGCGAAGAATTCCATGTTTCCTGAGGTATTTTCTCTGTTCCAAAGCCTCTTACAGATCTGAAACCCGATAGCTACACGTACCCGAGCTTGCTGAAGGCTTGCGGCGGGTTAAAGAGAGTGGATTACGGTAAAAGGGTCCATACCCATTTGATAAAAACAGAGTCTTCATCTGATGTTGTTGTGGGCAGCTCGTTAACTAGTCTGTACGCGAAATGCAGCGTTTTTGGTTCGGCCGTGAAGTTGTTTGACGAAATGCCGCACAAAGATTTAGCGTGTTGAAATAACGTGATTTGGTGTTATTACCAAAGTAGGCAGTGGGAGAAGTTTTTGGAATATTCTGAGAGGATGAAGGGAATGGGTTTGAGGCCCGAAAAGTTAGGTCCAAGATGAAGGAGCTCAGGCTGAAGAAGAGCCTGGGATATGTAGCTGGATTGAGGTGGATGAGAGAATCGAGTCGTTTTCAGCGGGTGACAAAACGTGCGCGCGAGCTGAAACTTTATACGATTGTTTGTCGATAATGTACGGTCACACAGAGAAGCAAGAAATTCTTGCAGTATAAAAAAGATACANGCACAAAATACATCAATCTATGAGTAAATGTATGTTGATCACTGGATAAAATCTCTTGCATAATGAGTACTATGGCCTGAGAAAATGGTCCGAGTCTTAAACTAACATTCGACCGAAGCTTTCGATCCTGCAGTGTAGTCATCGAGTTTTTAACAATTAGACCAGCATACACTCGTATGTGTAGTGTGAAATCTACTCGTTCCGCCAATTAATTTTACCGCACAAGAGAAAAAAAAATAATAATATAGGAACTAGAGTTTTTGATTCAGCCGACCTTTTCCCCAATTCCACAGAAACCCTAAATCGGAGCAATTTCTGCCTTCCCTCAGCAGGGCCTTCGGGCCACCATGACGGCGGCCTTCACCGTGCTGTACGGCTAGCTTCCAGAGAACCGTCGGATGTGGCGGCGGCCTCTTCTTCGAGCGACGCGACGGGTTCTTCCTTGTTTTCGCCTCCTTCTAGGTTGTCAAGGTAAGATGTGGTCCGGCGATTCCTCGTCGTCTAGGCGGCGGCAGGCTTCCGATGAGGCTGTGCGAGGCGGTTGTGGCTCCAATCCTCTCCTTGGTGGTGGTCGGGGCTGAGATTGGGCGGTTCCACTCTTCTCTCTTCTTCCGTTCTTCTCCGCCATTGGGCTGGTTGGGTTGCAGTGGAGGAGTCGGGTCGGGTCGGATCTTGTGTCCTGGGCCCGGGTCGTCGGGATTTGGGAGGTGGAGTTTGTAGTGTTTTCTCCGGTCGCGGGTATATGGGTTGTCTACCTGGGCGAGGGTCACGGTCCTTTAGTCTTGAACCTGGTTAGGCGATTTATCTGCAGTTTCTGGCTTTGAGACTTGGACTAGGTCTCTGTCCGTATGGGTGACCGCCCGTAGGTGTCGTCGTCATTGGTTGGTGTTCTGTTTCGTTTAGCTGCTGTGGGAAGGGCCATAATTTATTTATTTTGTTGTGTTTGTGTTCGTGTTGTGTTGTAAGAGTGCGTTTGTGCTTTTCTTCCCCGATTTTAGTTTTAGGAGTGTTGATTCTCCCGTTGGGGAGTGTTAGATTCTTCCGTTGGGGAGTTTGTATTCTCTCGTTGGGGAGTTTTTGTGTGTTTTTTGTTGTGTTGTGTCGTNCTAATGATCTTTTCTAATTCCAATCTTTTTCAACCAATTTTTTCTTGTCCTGTAAGCCACATTAGTTCATGGCAGCTCACCATCTCAACTGTTAGTGGTTTTATATAACACATATATAAATATATATAGGACTAACATTTATGTAGCGGAAGCGAAAACTTGCCCGTATCTTTTATCCGACGGCTACTAGAGTCGTCGGTATCCTCCATGCTCTAAAACCCGAGCCGCCTTGTGATGGTTTCCGCTCAACAAGAGATTTATTCACTTAAAGATTATTTGTTATGATATAAACTCAAATTCTTTTTCTTCTTTTCGGGTCACACCTTCAAGATGTACATAAGCACTTTTTATATAGTTGTCTCAATACAACTATTCATTTAATGAAGGCATCAATGCTCACTTCATAACTCCATACATAATGGAGTTGAAGTTGTAACACCACCACCTTTAAGTGGATGTTACCAATTGATGCAACATAACATCAATTAAAAACAATACTCCCACTCAGTAACTTAAGAGACTATAACAATAAATCTTTATTACTAAATCTTTTGCCTCATACGGGTAATAGAGCATGCAACCAAAAGCAACAATAACAGCGTTATATTAAGTCTCCATCTATCTAACATAACACTTTCATACTTACGACAACCTCTAACTATTAAAAAATCACCAATAGCAAACATTGTCCCTATATGCATGCTATATACACAACATAGTTATATTCAAATATAACCGCCTGGGCTAATGTGGTGAAGTTGAATTAGTTATTTCTTAGACACTAATGAAACTTCACGAACTATTTAGTCGAAACAAGTTCGACTAGATCTGTTTTGTGTTTTCTGTTTAAGGTCAAGATAGATGTTGATTGTAGCATCTTGACTCAATGTAGGTAATTGAGGAGTCGAGCCTCGACCTACACCCATTGCTTGTCCAGTTTTCAACCCGGAAATCCAAGTGGGTTGTTATTCTAAAATTAACTGTGCATATGTGTTTATTTGTTTGAATGTGTTAAACTGGTATGATCTAAGTATGTGTGTGAGCATGTAGCCTATCGATAGCCATCGGTAGGTTGTCCCCGTAGATACGGTTACCCTTATGAGGTAAATCTCTTTAAGTCCTTAGATAAGACCGTGTCCTTACGTGGCATGCACTCCCGTATTATAGATATGGTACGGCTGAGCGTAGATGTGCACATGAGTGAGCCATAGCGATGGCAAGGGTCATAGACATGACTAGAGATGAGACATTATTTATTAGTGTTTATGTTCATGCTGCGACCATACCATATTAACATATTCTGAGTTATTCATATGCATAGTGTGAGTACGATAGTTAACTGTACTCACTCCCACCTGCTCTTCACGGATGCAGGTTAAGCAGTCGGCGGGTGACGAGACAAGACGGGTGGTGGTCATGCTTTTATTTATCGCTTATTTACTTGCTTCCGCTCATTTATGTTGAGATATTATGACTATGTCGTTTTGAACTTGGGAATTATGAATTATCTTTAATGATTTGGAACTTAATGAATGCTAGATTGGTTTATGATTTATTATTCGCGCATGTTGTCTTTATTTGATGTGTTTGCATTTTTGGATAAAAGCTTTTGGTAAATTTGAGTAGCGCCCACTGAGTTTTTAATTAAATTAAACTTTGCGAAAAATATATTGTGATTTTCTTTTGTAACCTTTTTGTAAAGACCTTTTTTGTAACCTTTTTGTAAAAAAATCAAAAACGTAATTCAAAAGAGGACAAAAAAATAAATAGCATCATTTGTAGTGAAACATACAGGACTAAAATTGCATTTTATTCTAAAAACAATATCAACCCATCCAAGAATTGACACAAGTAAATAGCATCATTTGTAGTTTACCACACAAGCTGACAAAATGTTTGACACTTAATAAATTCCTTTTTTTTGGTAATATTTATCCTCTATTTTACCTTTTACTCTCAATATATGTTATTTTAGCTGTTGATCGGATCCGTCCATCAACAAGTGGTTTTATATAACACATATATAAATATATATAGGACTAACCTTTATGTAGCGGAAGCGAAAACTTGCCCGTATCTTTTATCCGACTGCTACTAGAGTCGTCGGTATCCTCCACGCTCTAAAACCCGAGCCGCCTTGTAATGGTTTCGGCTCAACAAGAGATTTATGCACTTAAAGATTATTTGTTGTGATACAAACTTAATTTTTTTTTCTTCTTCTCGTGTCATTCCTTCAAGATGCACATAAGCACCTTATTTATAGTTGTCTTAATACAACTATTCACTTAATGAAGGCATCAATACCCACTTCATAACTCCATACATAATGGAGATGAAGTTGTAACACCACCACCTTTAAGTGGATGTTACCAATTGATGCAACATAACATCAATTAAAAACAAGAGTAAATTACAATTTTAGTCATGTATGTTTCACTACTTAACTTTTTCGTCCTCTTCGAATTGCTTTTTTTATTTTCGCTTCGTATGTTTGCAAAAAAGTTATAAAAAGGTCATTTTCATACATAAGGGACGAAATTGGAACCTTTTTCTGCAAAACATAAAAGATATTTTTGTTGGGACGAAATTGTAACATTTTTTTGCAAAACATAAAGAATCTTTTTATTGCGAAAAATACCTTTTTGTAACCTTTTTGTAAACATAAGGGACGAAAATAAAAAAACGTAATTCAAAGGGGACAAAAAAATAAATAGCATCATTTGTAGTGAAACATACAGGACTAAAATTGCATTTTATTCTAAAAACAATATCAACCCATCCAAGAATTGACACAAGTAAATAGCATCATTTGTAGTTTACCACACAAGCTGACAAAATGTTTGACACTTAATCAAGCCATGATAATTAACAAGGCTACACCAATCCAAAAAGGCTACCAAATTAACATAATTTACAGTTACACCATATATTTAACTCGTAAAATCCGCTAATGGCTTTTGATTTTGTCTGCATCATCCCCTGGTTGGCCACCGGGCCCACCATCTTCTGCATGAATAAACTTTGTCTGGCTATGGAGTCTGACTTTCATGGACTCGGATTTGGGCGTCTGGCTGAGATGTGAGGCCGTGGGCCCCACTAATGGGACGGGCGGCTTGTCAGAAATGCTCCTCTTTAGCATTCGGGAAGGTTTGCTCGATAGCAGTGGAGGAACCGCGCTAGATTGTTGTTCTTGGGCATTGTGCAGCTGAATTTCGATGAACAAAAGATGAATTAAATCGTTCGTGTTGTCGAAAAGAATGATATTGCTTTATAACTCAACGGGACTATAAGGCAAGCTTAATCGTTACATATTGTCACATAATTATTGGCAAATGGCCATACTAATATATTCAAATATCATACTCTAAACATAATGTAAAGAAAATATATGATATTTCACAGTATAAATTTGTATTTTTTTGTTTACCACAAATTTTGATGTTAGAATGCCTAATAGTTCATAGTTTCTTAACAACTTCTTACTTATACTACAAAAATGTTTAGTTATGTTGTTTTTTAAAGTATAACATTTGAGGGCAAAATTGTATTTTTAGTCCTGCTGGTTTAATGTCGTAGCATTTTTAGTTTCAATATTTCAATTTTTTGTCGTTTGATTCTGTAATTTAGTATTTTGCTGCAATTTCAGTCATTTGAGACTGAAATTGCAATATTTAAAATTACAGAACTTAAATTGGTAATAAAAAATCCATACAAAAGATTTTTTATTAGCAATTTAAATCCTGTCATTTAAATTTTGTTGCATTTTAAGTCCAAACGACTGAAATTGCGTTGAATTTTAAAATCATAGGACCAAATAGCAAAAATGTTCAATTCTTAGGATTAAAAACGCCACTTGATCAAACCAACGGGATTAAAATTACAATTTTGCCAACATTTGAGTATGAAAATACGTAAACATGTTGAAAAAGCCATTAGACAGCCTAACACCAGCATTGATGTTCGTTAATTTGGAAAATAAGACGGGTCGACCCGGTTAATCGTTTAGACCACCTCATAACATTATTTGTTGTGAAATTAATTATAGTTTGGCTGTGAATACAAGAGGAAAGGGACCAACCTGAGATCCAACAGGTAGTTTAATGCTTGAAGATTGGGACACCAAAAATTGGAAAAATTGAACAACAAATTTGGAACCCAATTTAGTGCAATCGTGCCAATAATAATTTGCCAAGTTCAAAGCTCTTTCCTTAGCCTCGAACAGACTTCTATCTATGTCTGCTTCGTACTTCAACAAGTAAGGTCGCAAAAAGGTTTCATAAACATACTCACTTCCCTATGATTGTCAAAAATAAGAAAAATGTTCGAAAAATTGCAATAGTACAAAAAATGCAAGGAAAAAAGGGCAAAAAGTGGTACTATAACTAATGACTAATTAGAGTATTAGATAAGAGTCCTATTCAAATTCACAAGGTTTAATTTTTATTTAATACAGACCTTACAATGAGTTAAACAATTAAATTTATCATTAGATATTCGTAATTTAAGTGTACTTGTTTTGACATACACAATAAAAGTATGATATTTTAAAAATATAATGTTCCCCGGCATACAATGATATGTTTTTTCAACGAATATGCTAAGAAATGTTCGAATTAGCATAAATGAAAGTATGATAATTTACCGATTTTATATTTCTAAAAATATATAGTATTTTTATGATATTTTCCATTTTATGATAGATAATGTGAAAGCCAATTAATTCAAGGGGGAGAAAATCTACTTAAACAAAACCTTTGTGTTTGGATGCCATAGGTAGATGAAGAGACCCAACTTTAGCCCTCGATACATTGGCAGCCTATTTTATAAAGATTCAAAGTAATTATGAACCTTATAAAATAAAAATAAGAAAGGCAAAAAACAAATTAAGGGAAGTAGAATTTGCTCAAATTTAGCTAGCAATTAGCATACCAGGAAATAAATATATCAGAAAAATGCTCAAGAACTGTTAGAACTGCAACAATTGTCCTGCATCGAGAATGTACATGAACCAATAAACCATTTTAAAGTAGCAGACAAATTCTCGAGACCTAACCATTAGGCGGGTCGACTCGTCATATTTTTTTAAACAAAAATACATATTTATACTGTAAAATATCATGCTTTTGTTTATGTTGTTTATTGGAGTTTGACATTTCAATTTGAAAGTATATATGTTTGTTTTTGATAAAGTGTGATCAAGGTTATTGTTTGTATGTGTTTTTAAAAACTATGATTTGAGTCAACCTTATAGAAGTCTTGTTAAATAAATAGTAGACATATGAAAAATTATGTGAAGTATATATAATGCAAGCCCAATCATTTTCCATTGAATAAATTTTAGAAATGCCAATCACTCAAAATACTCACCAATATTGACACCAAAATCTGAGTTCTTGAATGGCAACTCTATTTTTCTCTATTGTCTTGAAACACAAAAATGCAGGATATGCATAACCAAGAGCCAATCTGAAGAATTTATGGATATCAAGAGACATTACATTCTGAAGTCAGTTTCTTAAGGAAGAAAAAAAAAAAAACATACATAAATTATAAATATAGAGAGCAATCATTCTCAAATTCTAAATTAGATAAATAAATAAAAAAAATGCCAAATAAAAAATTACATACATTAAACTCCTGGAAATGAAATCTTCAATCATCTTCAAAAGTTTCCCTGGCTGTCAATATTTTCTAAATAAATTGGCAAAATCAGGCATTGAGCACAATATCTGACAACATGATTGAAGATTTTCACATCAATATATAATATTGATGTGAAAATTGAAAAAAAAAAATCCACAGCATGGCAATTGGCAATCAATAAACTGAATTAATTAATAATGCCAGATTAATTAATAGATTCTGAGAGGAAAATTCGTATTTTAATTTTACATTATTCAATAATTTTCTGAAGATGACCTAAAATGACAATACACCATCATATAATTCCACCATTCGTAAATAATAATACATAAGGAACTGATCAAAATGAAGTAGAAAAAAATAAGTAAATTAGTGAAAAATTGATAAAGTTGTTAGTTTACCTTTTTCTATTTCTGCTAAAAAAAGNAAAAAACCCAGAAGCCTGACGGGGAAAGGGGCACAATTTTGCTCTATGAGAAATGTAGTGAATGAGAGACTAAAATTTTAAACGTTGAGAAAAATAAAAGAAGTTAAGATAGACACATCTCAACGAGATTACCGTTTGACAGTTATGTTTTTCTGGTAGATGTCATTTTTGACTTTGTACTGGCGGATATAATAGTAATATATTTGTGATTTGTAAATTACAAATATTACAATTAGTTACAATTTTAACCAGATAAATCTTGATTGTGAATACAACAGCGAAAGTAACTCCATTATCTAATCGCCAGTAGAAGTGGCATGAGTATGTTGTAATCGAATCGAACAAGTCCAGTTTGAACATCTGGAGCTCGTGTCCATTTGCGTTCGAACATTGTTCGTGTTCGTTGGTTTATTTTTCAAACGAAAATTCGTGTTCAAACTCTTTTGTGTTCGAAAAAATTTAGGAAACAACGTTTTAAAATTGTTTGATTAACTCATAATTTGTTCGATTAAACCCATTAGAGCCTCAAAAATTTTAAAAAAAATAAAATAAAATAAAAAAGTTTTATATTTTAGATTTTTTTATTAACAATATCATATAAAAATAAAATAAAATTATTTGATATTAATGTGTGCGAACATTACAGAACTTTTGCAAACGAGCTCGTGTTCGTTAGATTATTAAACGAGCCTAATTTTTTGTTCTATCTCGGCTTGATTAACAAACAAACGAACTTCTGCCGAACACGAACAAGCTCAAACAAGCTTTTGTTCGCGAATGTTCGGTCTGTTTACAGCCCGAGGCATGAGTTAATTTGTCCATCAACTAATACGGCATAAAATGGGTATAGCATACACGATCGGTATGTAGTTGAAAAATCAAGAAATCTTAACACATGGCTGGTGGACACATCTAAATTCCGATACAATTGCTACCAAAATGTTAGTTCTTATGAACTCATCCCTCTCCTTTTGTGCTCCATTGTAGGTAATCTTTTCGAGGTGTGTGATATCAGACACTGAGTGTCGAAAGCTTGAGCATGCTTCAGAAAAACAAACATGCAAGGTTTCGGCTAATCAATGTTTTTAAGTACTTATTTCCCTCAAGAGCTTTGATACATTCTTATACGTATCATAAATCGGTTTTGAATTTTTATTTACGGATGCATTTGAACTAGATTTGGTAAGTACCATAAGCACGCCATCACTAATTTTGCTGAGGAGATAATAAAAGTTTTGCAAAGGACAAGCAACACAATTGGGACTTGAAAATACAAAGTACGACCAACTTCATATGAAGGGTAGATTCAATCTTACAGGTGAGAAACCTTTGGATCAAACGCAGACACATATATACTCACATGAGTGTGTGTTGATCAAGTTGTGAGAAACTCGTTGTGTAACCTGTAAGATGAAATCTACCCACATGAAGGGCTATCAACTCAAGAGATCCAACTAGGCAATGGGCTATAAAACTAATAGCAATACAATTAAAATAAAATAAAATAAAAGACAAAACTAATAGCAAGACAGTTATAACATCGGCAAAAGTTCAGCGGACCAATCGAATGCACAGGAGCATAGCCACATTACTCAGCAGTAGAAACTAAGCAGACAACACAATCATCAGACCACAATTTGGGGTTCAATCATATATTGCAACAACTCCAGATCACCGTTTCTCTTTTGCATATTTCTAACATTTTCTTCTCTAATCACTTAACCTTCAAAAGAGGACCATTTGACAAAAATGTGAACATTTACACAAACCTTGCGTAAAAGGTATTGTCCGCTCACGAAAGTATTTGATATTTCTTCACCACACTAGATTATACTGTCTTCATATAAGCATTTAGTTTTACAGAACAAACTTATGCATGCCACCATGAAACAGTAAGCATGCACAGCCACTAAATCTGTGATCAAATCAATTTGGACATCACAGTGGTTTTCATAGCCAACCGATTCAAATCTAATCTGATGCCCGATTGCATGCTTTCCCCATTTTTTCTTCAGTCCAGAGGACCATACATATCAAGGCAACAAAACATTTTAGATGCAACTTGCAATTCACCAGGCACGAGTGCACAAGAACAGAGTAGAATTTCAACACTCGTACAATCAAATAAACGAGATAAGAGACATCATCAATTAAATATATCTGAAAAGTCATCAGCAAATTGATTTACCGTCAAGATTTAGATGTCAATCCTCAATAGTTCAATTTTAAGCAACAAGATTGTCAACATCAGACCACAAACTAAAAAAAATGTAATAATAATAGGTACCGAATGATTCAAATGCCAATTCTTTGACCAAAGTGAGTCAAAAGGTGACAGTTTTGTCTAATAAACTCAAACTTAAGTCCCATATACTAGCAACTGCAAACCTACGTGAAAATGTCAATCTTCAATGGCAAATTTGACTTTTTACATGCTACAAACATAGTGCATTATATATGTATAACTCACAAGCACAAGTGGACCGTTGTTCAAAAGATTCACCACATAAAGATAAATGTAAATCGACCCAAAGAAAGTACAACAAACAAAGCGTCTACAGGAGCAGAACAGCATAGTGCATACAACATCAAGATACATGATATAAAAAGTCCACCAAAAGCAAAACAATCAAACGATAAGGTTAAAAAACATGAATTATGCTATACCCCTTGCTTTTATTAGAAATGCGGAAGTTGAGAAGAGCGTGAACAACAGATTCTTCACTTTGGGAACAGAGTACTTACGACTTACACATAATATTACACCTCACGATTCATTAGAAAATTTTACGACAAATGTGATACAATAATTATAGATTCAAGCATTCTCAAATGAGAAGGAAAATGACATGTTCAACTACATAGGCAAGAAATAATTTTGAAAATGCAACATAGTTAAAAATCTAAACAAGAACCATCTTAGCACTTAAAGGCGCCACCGCCAAGGAGATATACAGGGACAAATTATCCAATTCATCTCTCATCATTTATAATCTCACTCCTTGAAGAAAGAGTGAGAATGAGTGAGTGAGAGAGAGAGAGAGAGAGGGTGAGAGAGAGAGAGAGTGAGGGTGAGAGAGAGCTCCATCATAAATCTGCCACTTTCAAATTTTCTTTCACCCCATTATATGAACTCTCTATTGTTATAACAAAATCATTTAATACTAACAAGTACATGTCTTACTGATAATCGTTGAGGAATTGGAAAAACACAGAACAATGTGCTAGGATCAAACAAAGGTTAGTGATTGAGTACAGGTTTACCATAATTTACATCAAGTTGAAAGACCAACCTAAGCAATCATATAAAGGTGTTTCTGTTTGATTATCAAGTCTGATGACTACCATTTTTCCATTGCAATTTAGTGACTAGTGTTAAAACATCAAACCACCAAATAAACAAGACAGTCATTTCATTGCACAAAAAGACAAAGAACTAAGTTGTCAGCCACCACCCACCTCATCTACTGCAGGTAGCGTTACTATGCTGCATTTACTAATCGGCAACCACCAATATCTTGACAAGCATTGAAGAAAAAAAAAAACACAACTTTCTTATCCTACAAATCAAATCACACTCTTCAACATCACTTTGGCACAAAACCCACCATCAAAATAACCCAACACATGCCTCACACGATCCTGCAATTCTAACAACATTCATGCCCCGTTTCCTATGAATTTCAGATTATGTCTGAAATGTCAATATTTTCAGCAAACATGAGCATTCAATAACAATTCTAACCAGCATGTATGTGTATATATATATATATAAAGGCAATATATATCTAACCGAGACATTCATAGATAAAAATTAGAATCAGAGACGAATATATTTAAACTGGATATTGGCTTTTGATATTATGCGAAATAGATTGTATAGAGAACATGATAGAAACAAAGCCAATGGAAAACCAAACACTTTTTACCACGGGCTTCTGCACATCTACAGCACGGAAGCTAATCACTGGTCATGGATCTCTAACCCATACAGAACGCCAGCATACTGGTCGAGTAAAGCCTTCCTCTCACCATTGCTGAAGTACACATCCCTAATTTTCTCAAACGCGTGCCAGGTCAGCAGGCTATCAGACCCCGCCTGGTGGCACTTCCCAGCAGCACGCTGCACAGTAAGAGACTTCGCCACCCGGTCCAATCCCCCATGCAGCCCCTGACAGAACTTCATCAGGTGCTTAACATCATAAACACGGTCCCCAAAGAATACCCTCAGCAGGTTCAGAAAATCCTTGAGGCTTCCAGGGAGAGCCTTCCCCGTGATGGCCTTGATGAGGTACCCAAAGTCGTAGCCACTGTGAAAGGTAATGTAGGTGACGTCATCGTTGCAGACGAGGCCGGAGGACACCATGAGCTCGGCGAACCTGGCAGCAGCCACACCGAACTTGCGGGTGTGCTCGAAATCAACGCCCTGGTTGCGGAGGAGGTCAATGGAATTTGGCGCGTGGTCGTCGCTCGAGATGTCAAAGTCACGGAAATTGAACTCCCATATGAAGCGGCGGTCGGGGAAGCCGAGGTCGGGGAGGTTCCCGGCGGCGTCGGAGAGGGTGATCCCAACCTGGATCAGCTTGAGCGCGTCGACGTTGGACTTGAGGGTTTGGTAGAGGTCGCCGGGGTCGGAGTAGCGCTGGTAGTGGCGGAAGACGACGCCGGGGAACTCGGTATCCATGGAGACGAAGGGGAACCGGTCGACGAGGCCGCGGATCAGGGAGAACTCGCGGTCCAGATTCTCCGACCAGACGGATCGGATCAGGACCTGGATTTTGGGTCGGTTAGGATCGGAGGACGGTGGGGACAGCGGAGGGGAATCGGGCGGCGGCGGAGGAGGAGGGTCATCGGGGGGGATGGCGGCGGCGGCCATGGAGGGGGCATTCAGATCGAAAGCGATGGTTGGATTGGGGGAAATTCTAGGGCTTGAGGGGAAATGATTTATATACGTAATTTGGGGGGTTTTGTAACTGCGTATGTGTGTGGTGAGTGACGTGTGAGTGTAAATGGCTACGTGGGGAAGGAGAGAGAGGCGATGAATGGGCTTCGTGTTAGTCAAAATGACGAGATTACCCATTTGGGTTTATTTTTCATCTTTCTTAAGTCTATATTTATATATATAATTATTAGTTGATACATTTAAAAATATTTAATATAATCTATTTTCATTTTCCTTCAAAATAAATTATATTTTTTAATTAATTATTCACTAATTTGCTAAAACTATTACACCTTAATATATATATTTTTATTATTTATTTTTTGGATCAGTTACCAAATTAATTCTAAATTTGATAGTAAAATATTAAAATGAGTAACGGTTAAAGTTGGAACTATAAGTTGATTGGCACATTCAGAGTTGTAACCGCTATATTTGGTTGCATTGTTGGAAGAAAAATATGATTGGCACATTTTTTTTAAAAATCAAAAACTCCAATAATTTTTTTATTTATGTTAATTTTCTTAATATATGCCATAAATATATAAATTATTTTATTCATGTTACTAATGTAAACGTTGCATGGTTAAAATAAAATTTAAATATCAATTACTTTTGAATGATAAAAATAACTATAGAAAAAGTAATAATTTTTATATGATAGAAGTACATGTCTAATTAATAAATACAAACAAAATGTGTTTATATCTGTGCAAATTCTCAGGATCAAATACTAGTTAAATGCAAATCCCCTCATATATTATTTCAGAATGTGTTGAGCCTAATCGGGATAAACTCATGCTTCGTGATCCTACGTGTCAAATTTTCATGCTTTGTGCTTGGCTTGGATGAATTTTAATTTACTCTAAATTAAAAAATAATTAGGTTTGAAATAACCATAAATATATTTGATATTTATGGTCATTTTTAAGAGTATTGATATTACATTTTCTATTCTAGATATTATTTATAATGCATGATTTTTTTTTTTCCTTCAATCTCTACTCTTTCATCATTTTTCTTCTAAAATTATGAAAAATTTACTAACTTAAAGTATAATTAAATTCAAAAGTTAATAATATTTTTATTTATTATTAATTTTTTATTATATAATATATCAAATTAATCATGTATTGACGAGTTTCGATTTGACATCTATATTGTACACACAAAATAAATAAGTAATTATACTTATCATTATAAAAAACAAACTACCTACTAATATAATTTAGAAAATATAATTATTTAAATCAATTTAACTACAAAGTTATTAAATGATATAATAAAAATAATTATTATAATATAAGATGGTAAGCCATATAAGTGATGTCTGTTATTTTAAATATAAATAGTAATATAGTTATTCAAAAAAGTATTTGAAAATTCAAACAATTTTTTTATTATTATTTCTAATTTATAAATTTTTCAACAAACACCCGTGTAATACACATGGTATTGTACTAGTATGAATTTATAGATAACTTTCTTGAGAATATATTTGTGGTCGAGTCTGACTCGTCATATTTTTTAAACAGAAATGTGTATATATATTGTCGAAATACCGAAATACTGGTTTTGATTGTATTAGGTTGTGTAATGCTCGCACAATCTTACTTTTTAACATATTTAAATGCTTTTAATATTCAAATGACTAATTTTATTTATACTGTAATATAAATAAAAATAGAATATTTAATTCTTTTATAAAAAAAAATATGGTTCTGGGTTGTTAGGCAATCTAACATTGAAGTAAATAAATGCAAATTTAAGGGTACACATAACATAATGTGCTGCACTGTGTGTAATTTTAAAAGACAACCAATAATATTTTTACAATAAGATTTCAATAATAGACTTCATTGTTTAACCACAATTGTCATAAATGAAATCAATTGTTCTTAACAAGGGCGTGGGCTACATTAGCTTTTGAAATCGGACCAGTTGATCTGCATATCATTCATTCATGAAATACTTATGGAGAAGGTGAATTTGTTAAAGTTCAATGTAGATATTCTGTAATTACAAACAGAAATTGGATGCGCACATAATGATGCAAAAACAAGGGGCAAAGTTAAATAATACCACACAGCTAAGAAGATATTCCACTAATCTTAAAATCTGAAGCCGATGTTTTTCATGTTTCACAACTGTCCTTTTAATTTTCGTTTAGTGCACCATACAAGTTTTGGCTTAGGGAGCTATTTCGAACACAAACACTATAATATCAACAAGAATATGTCCCAAAAGGTGATCATACAAAAGAAAATCCCATTACCAAACATCCCAACACAGTTTCACAATTAGAATAACAGCAGAATATCGAGAGATAACACGAGGGCCCATCCCTGAAAGTGTTGACGTGGGAAATTTTCTTTTTCTTTCGGGAAGACTGTTCCCCGTGCAACTAACATCTTAACACGATATGAAAGCTATAAAATCGGAAATTATATCATAAGGTCAATAAAACCCCCCAAATTTGACTTCTTACGCTAGAAATAGGTTCCTTCAGGAGGCTGGACGAGCTTACGGTTGTGTGGAGAAGCCATCTCTTTCTTGAGCTGTGTCAGGATATCCTCCATCGTGTACTCCCGCTGCCAGTTGGCTAGAAGCCCGAATTTTTTAGGTTCCACCTAACCGTTTAAAAAAAATAAAAAGTAAAAAAAGTACATCAATTGTCTTGAGAGAAGCATATGTTTTGAATGATATACGAGTATCCAGCTCTTTGCTTACGCGTATAACTACCAAAAACAAAAGGATGATAGTAAAAAGAGATGAATTGTGAAGACAATCCATGAGGCTGATCCTAATTATGAAAAAGTGCAGATATCTTTCAGAAGAACAAACGTGAACTTAACAGATTAACAAGATATATAAGCATCTTAACAGAACGAAATGTTTGTGGCGTGAGGACGAAAGCTGGCTACTTCTATCATGGAAAAATAAGAGAACTCTCCTAAACACAAACAAATACGGATACATGAATAATGTAATATTAGCCTCCATGGCACGATTACAGTAACCAAGCAGGCATAGGCTAATGGGGTCCATCAAAGTTGCCCACATCCTTGTCAGAAGGCTATTCACCTCTGAAATGCAAAATTTCTCATTTGTCTCCATGTAATGCAATTCGTTCACTCACCGAAATATGCCGGAGAATGTCAAAATGTTACTAAAATTAAATAAAAAAACTGTAATATTGTGTTCGCATTATGTAAAAAATGATGAATGACGATCAGTGTAGGAAACACATTTATCAATGTCATTCAATCAACAGAAGCACGTTCATCAAAGAGGAATTGTTGTAGTTGTGGTTTTGACTCTAAATACACAACGATTAGATACCATGTTAAAATATATAGTGAAATTAGTGTCTTAAAGACTGTTCAATCGTCCCCTTCGAACAAAAATGACAATTCAACTTAACCTTGAGGTCATTATATTCGTACCACTCCAGTTTCATGGTTTACGCAAGTCATGTTTATCCGGGAATGGAATCGAACACTGGGAGGCTTCTCTGGGTAATCTTTGTCACAGAACAGCTTCAACTGGTATATGCGCCCTTCATGTACGGACTGACAGGAAAAAGGCAAACATTAATTCTTTTAACAAGTTGCTAAAGCAAAAGAATATGGTCGGTGGATAGAAAACAATGGAAACTAATCAGCAGCTACCAGTACAACCTTGATGTTTATATTCCATCAAAATTGTAAAATGCTATAGTCTATACAAACATTAAGTTCATCGAATTAAAAAAGAGACGTCAGTTGGAAGCACCATCCGAGACCGAAAAAGGTTCCGGAGAGTGAGCATCAATCATGTATTTAACTTAGGATGTGTCAATTAAATCCAACCGTATCAACCACAGAAACAAAATTAATAAGGAAATAATATCTTTAAATATAAATGATAGACATGCAGCAAAACAAGGGTAAGGTATTCGTTATCTGCATTTCCACATCAAAATGAATTAGCATAAGGCAAGCTAGAAGCTCACATTGTGGGGGCCTATGATTGTTCCAGTCCATGAACGCATGTAAATATCATCTCCATCATCCATTCCATAGCTCACAGTACCATCCCCGATTCCCTTTTCACCACGTTCAAGTTCCTCGAGCAATCTAAAATTTCTAGGTACTGCAAAATGCAAAGAGAGTGATCACATATCTTCATAAGTAGAACAAACTCAATCTCTTATAACAAGTGAAATGTAAAACAGACTAGGTAATAAGAGTTGAATTTGGAATTTCACATATGATAGAGGATTTATACGCGGAACTTCATAAGCTAAATCGATACTATAATTTTCACAAAACAGTCTAATGGACAGATAATCCATCAAATGACACAGAGAAGAGGCCCACAACTGATTGATGTATTGAAAAGAAAAAAGTGCACCGGTCATCATACTTTCTCCAAGACCACAAACTGCCGAGTAACAAATTCCAGTACACAGTTCACAAACTTAAATCTTATCTTATAAGTGTCTTTTAACACCATTTCATTCGCCGAGTACATAATTCGACTACAGTATAATTCAGGTTAGTTTCTTTTACTCGGCGTAACAGTAACTCAGAACTCAACCATACAACGTCAATTATCACAGCAGAAACTGAAAAANCTATCGAACATAACTAAAATTATACATGTAGCTAAAGCTCTAATCCAGATATTCCCAATGCCTATTAACATTTTCCACAAGACCAATAGAAAAATTCCAGATTAACACTACATTAACACAACAGATGGAGACAAACAAACCACTCAAACATAAATTAAACTATATACGTAGCTAAAGCTCTAAATCAGAGTTTCCCAATTGTGAACGCCTAGTCGCCTACTAACATTTCCCACAGGACATATGCAGAAATTCCAGACCAACACTACATAAATACAACAACAGAGAGAGATCGAGGTCGTGAGGATCCGACACTGAAACCTTAACCCAACACCTTCTTTCGTACACGAAAATTAGAAAGAAACCCACCAAATTCTTGCAGATTAACCACGGAAATCACCAAAAAAAAACGATAAATTCACCAACAGAAACTAAAAATGATATATAGTTATCCATAAGATACTATAATTCTTACCCACGACGCTGGATCCTCCTGCGCCAAGAGTCATGGTGGCGAATGCGTGAGTCTGGCACTCTGGCTACGTAGAGATCGAATTTAATGGGATATGGAGATATTTAATGGGGGTCGATGGGAATATGTTGAAGATGAACGCAGAGGATGAGAAACTGAGAAAGGGCTTAAAAAGGGTTCGAGGGAAATAAATCAATAATAGAGGGAGTACGAATGAAATAATTCGCCTGTGAGGGCAATACTGTCCAGATGGATTAATTCATTTTTATTATTATTGTTATTTTTTTTAAAACAAATTGAAAACCTTACGTATTTATATCTATATATATAATAAAAATTACTATTTACTACATGTAGAAAGTAGTTCCTGCAAAAAAAATTAATTGTATATTATAAATAGAAATAAAAGATGGAGTATTAAATGCAATATTCAATATGTTAGGCCAACTGCATGAATCTCGCCAGCGTACTAACTAAGTTTTCAAAAACAATTTGTACAGAATTTTGTGATGCTTATCCTTAATATAATCTTAATAATTATTTTATAAGTCCAACTCATAAACATAAATCTAGGCGTGGATAGCTAAGAAAAAAAAAAAGATAATTTTTTAATTGAATAAGTAGTTCGGCCATAGATTTTCAGACTAGCTAAATTTGAACTTAATTGAATAAAAGTAGTTCGGACATAGATTTTCAAACTATTTTGTACGTCTTTTTTAATGAAAAATATTTTGTACGTTATTTTTAATGATAATTCGGGTATCTAAATATTTATTATGCATAAATTACTAAACATAAAAAAAAACTAATTTCTAATACATTTTGTACTCACGTGACGTGTTTTTGTATCATAATTCTGGTATCTAAATATTTATTATGCTTGCTCAACGTGTACTTGCAAACGGTAAAAAAATCAATTTTCAAAATATGTTGCACTCACATCTTTTTGGGAAATATGTTCGGCGTGTACTTGCACTCACATCTTTTTGCTAACGGTAAAAAAACTAATTGTGTGTATCTAAATACATGTTTTAGGTTCTTTTATACAAGATAATTTTATATTATTTACAATAAAATATGCTCGGTTGTTGGCTCCTTAGCACTACTTGTAAATTATATCACGTGTTAACGCACATTATTATTTAATATTATTTACTTACATTTTTAATTTATAACTAACATTTAATATTATTTACCCGTGCATCGCACGGGCTACGCGCTAGTTTACATCAATCAAATTATCTATATCTATGTATTTAACATAAGAATAGACTTAAATCAATTACAATAATATCTTTCCGCCATTTTGCATTAATTACCTGCTAAATATAATATTTTTAGATAATTCGAGACAACAAATATCAGAGTATTAATTGTGATCAGTTTATGGAATCAACTGATTTAATAGTTTATGGAAGCATTTCCCGGTTTTTATGGAATCAAATAATATAGTATTATATTAACTAGTACGTAACCCGTGCGATGCACAAGATATAAAATTTGGAAGAATAATATAACCTCACGTGCATTAGAATCGAAATTGAAATCATTAAAATACATAGGAACATTGTTGAATCATAAAAAGTCGGTAACAATCATATATTATTAAAAACCTCCTTGTACACAACATTATGAGTTTGATTATTTGGTAACTCCTCATTATCACAAACTAATATTTTCAAAAGAGACAAATCCTAAAAATCAAACTAATATTTTTGGTGAACAAACTAATATTTTAGGATTGGTGAACAAACTAATATTTTAGGATTTCTAAGATTTGTCTCTTTTTGGTGAACAAACTAATATTTTAGGATTGGTTATATGAATAAGGCTACCTGTTTTTGGTGTTCTTTTCATTCATTTTCATTCAAACAATCCGATCACTTGTATAATGAAATTCGAATCTTAAGCCGAAATATTTTAAGAAAAGAGTTTTTAAAAATTGAAAAGTCAAGGCAATCAGTTCAGATTAATTAAAAGTCAAAGAATATCCGCTCCTTGAAATAAAGACGTGTGCTATCATTAATCAAATATCCGGTTATTGATATAGAGTGGTTACCAAAAAATAGAACGCGTTAAGGACGCTTCATGGAAATATCAATGGGATAAGGTCATAACAAATCGCTATACATTCTAACGATAAAAGCTCATATGGAATGATTTATGATAATTATGTCGTAATTAATGAATTAATTAGATGTGTGAAAAGGACATAATTAATGAGAAGTGTGAAAAGGACATAATTAATGAGAAGTGTGAAAAGGACAAAAACTTACCAATTTTGGAAAATATTTAATGCAAATCCGACATTGACCATAATTTGACCTACTATTTTGGATAAATGTTAATTCTTATTATATAAGTATAATTTTACCAAAACAAAAAGTGTAAGCAATTTAAAATTCCCGTAAGATCCATATTTATGTGTCAAATGCCTATTAATTTTCGGTTCGACCAATATTAAAACCGAAAACCGAACCAAAAACTACGGTTCGGTTCGGTTTGACACCGAAAATTTATCGGTTGTTTCGGTTCGGTTATCGGTTATCCTGACAAAATGGAGAAATGACAAAAATAAAATTTACAAATAACAATAGATACAAATTGTCTCCAATAAATCAGTATTCAATAAATGCAAAACTCTCAGAAATCATCTGAAATTCAGAATCCTATTCAATTCAAGAGCAAGCCCATCAAAAAATTCAAGTTTTTCATTAGTATTACAGTAGGTCACAGAAGCAGATTGGTTCAACATGTCAGTATGTCACAACAATTTGGAAACCCACAAGCCACAACCGTACAGCTCAAATCATAGGCATAAGAATTAACCCAAAAAATATGAGCTCAAATTGGGTGGGTGCAACCCGTACAATGAATCACGACTCACAGGCCCAAAGAAGAATGAGAGATTCAAAGCCAGAAAAGAAAATTACGAATCTGAATTGCAGCCCTTACGAGGGGATTTGGGTGGCGAACTCAATTGAGAAGACGAGTGTCACGACGGCCTGCGGGGTGGAGTGTGCGCGGGAGCAAGAACGACCGAGCGAGGCGATGTGAGATTTCAAAATTCCGGCGATTTTATGCGCCGACGCCGAGCAAAGGGAGATGGAGCGGGTGATTTTGTGCACCGTGCGGCGGACGGGCGGAGAAGTGCAGTGCTAGGTGGGGTTTTCTGGAGGATGAGACGATGAGTGACCGTGAGAGACGATTTGTTCCTGGAGGATAATATCTGCTTTGTCGATGGAATTGGACTATTGGAGTAATAAATTGGGCCTGCTTAGTGCTTTGTGGTGGGCGGCCCGTTAACTAATGGCAATTGGATTGAACAATATATACTGGGCCTTTTTTAACTTATATAATATCGATTTTCGGTTCGGTTCGGTTAACCGACGGATTGTAACCAAACCGAACCGAAAACCGAAAAATTGAGAAACTTAAAACCGATAACCGAACCAATTTGTCGGTTTCGGTTTCGGTCGAAACCGAAAATTCGGTTTCGGTCGGTTATCCAAAAGTTGTGCAGCCCTACCGGTAAGCGACCCTATTTCGGTATTTCTGTCAGTGTTTTAAAACACGTATAGCGTACTACGTCATAATAGTAATTGCATATTTGACTGTAATAATCAGAACAGTAATCAGGTAACATTTTTACACATAAACCATGTTAATATTTTTATACATAATATTCTTGATGGAATGATTAAAAACCATGTAACTGGAGATTGAAATTAACCCTTTTTATACATAAACCGAATGAAAAGTTTGAAAAAAAAAAGGACCTCTTAATTAAGTGAGGCATAAATAATTTTGGGTCATCCAGATTTATAATCTATCCTCAAAACACAACAAAGAAATAGGCAAATACACATCAAAGAAATTCAATCCTCAAAACAGCAAGTATTGGTCAATTATTTATATCTCACAGTATTAATTTAATACATAATCATTCCAATAATCAGAAAACCTAAATCATCAAGTGAATGAAGAAGAGGCCCGATTTCAATTTGAAGTTCTGATGAAGCTATTCATAATCTCCAATGGAAAACAAAATATTATCTTTGGAGTCGAGAGCCGAGGAGCAGGTGACGTAGGGTAGCGAGAGCCGAGCAGCAGGGACTTTGGGGGTGGCGAGATGTGAGAAGCAGGTTGGTTGTGAGGAGACTGAGGTGGAGCCGTGGAGGCGGCGGAGTTACTACTCTCGCCGGGATGTGGTGGAGCCGTGGGGGCTGCAGTGGAGGAGGCTGCGCTGGAACTGAGAACCGTGGAGAGTGAGATGATGATGAGGTAAAATGAGGGTTTCTGGCTAACTTTGACTGCCTTCTATTTTGTTTTCTTTTTGTTTATTTATTTATTTTCTGTCTATAAAAATTAATACGTAATCTATATCTGCATATATGTATATATATGTACTAGTACGTAAGTAAAATTTGGAAGAATAATATAACCTCACGTGCATTATGATCGAAATTGAAATCATTAAAATATATAGGAACATTGTTGAATCATAAAAAGTTCGGTAACAATCATATATTATTAAAAACATCCTTGTACACAACATTATGAGTTTGATTATTTGGTAACTCCTCATTATCACAAACTAATAGTTTCAAAAGAGACAAATCCTAAAAATCAAACTAATATTTTTGGTGAACAAACTAATATTTAGGATTGGTGAACAAACTAATATTTTAGGATTTCTAGGATTTGTCTCTTTTTGGTGAACAAACTAATATTTTAGGATTGATTATATGAATAAGGCTACCTGTTTTTTGTGTTCTTTTCATTCATTTTTATTCAAACAATCCGATGACTTGTATAATGAAATCCGAATCTTAAGCCGAAATATTTAAAAAAAGAGTTTTTAAAAATTGAAAATTCAAGGCAATCAATTCAATTTAATTAAAGGTCAAAGAATATCCGCTCCCTGAAATAAAGACGTGTGCTATCATTAACCAAATATCCGGTTATTGATATAGAGTGGTTACCAAAAAATAGAACGCGATAAGGACGCTTCATGAAAATTTCAATGGGATAAGGTCATAACAGATCGCTATACATTTTAACGATAAAAGCTCAGATGGAATGATTTATGATAATTATGTCGTAATTAATGAATTAATTAGATGTGTAAAAATGACATAATTAATGAGAAGTGTGAAAATGACATAATTAATGAGAAGTGTGAAAAAGACATAATTAATGAGAAGTGTGAAAAGGACAAAAACTTACCAGTTTTAGAAAATATTTAATGCAAATCCGACATTGACCATAATTTGACCTACTATTTTGGATAAATGTTAATTCTTATTATATAAGTATAGATTAGTACATAGTATGTGCGATGCACGAGACAATATTTATAATTGAATGTATTAAATCAATGAAGTAATAATGATTAGTATAAAAATAATTTTGAATATTTATAAATATTTTCTTATTTTATTGTATGATATATAATAATTTAATATGATTTATATATTTATTTCACTCCTTATAAAATAGTTTTTATTTGAGATCCTGATTATAATTAAGAATAATTAAAATTTTAATATATTCAATATTATCGATAAATGATACTCGTAGAATACTACTCTCACTATCTTCTCTTACACATATCTTGTTACAATATATTACTAGTACGACACTCGTGTACTACACGGGTTGTTTGAAAAAAAAAAACTAAAACATAAAATTATGGGAAAAACACATGTTGTCATATAAAAGTGCAAAAATAAAAAAATAAAAAAGTCGATATTATTTCAAATTCTGAAAAGTTTCTTTGTACACAACATTAATAGTTCTAAATTTACAGTTTTTCTATTCTTACCGCAACACAGAATTTTCAAAACTCTTCTACTTTCAACTTAAATAAAAGTTGACCATGACTAAATACAGGATTAGGTAAATACAATCCGACTTTAAATAATGTATGTCCTTAACTCTTGTTAATAGTCATTGGAAAATAAACCATAAGTGGAAGCTGTCTTCATTGAAACTTGAATGACAATCTCACATCACAAGGACTCAATAACATGCATGGAATAAGTACTTTGCTCTCAATATTCCTTTCAAATAAAAACCTTAGCCTCAACAACGTGATCTCTCAGTTGAGCGATGACTAACCTGGTTTCATTACACAACCCATAAAACAAATTGTGGTTATTTATTGAAGTTACCAATGTATTCTTTCTAATTAAAATAAGTATAACTTATTCAATTAACGACTATAATTGTAGACACAAACTGTAATTGTTTTGTTTCCTTCTATATTATAGTATTAATAATAGTATATGATTACAAATTAATTCAATTATTTTTAATTTTATTTAATTATATTTATATATATATATATATATATATATAATTTGTTATTTGAAACATTATATATTATGTAAAAATACTAATACATTAGTCCACTGGACCAACTGTGAACCATTGAATATATAGCTCTAACGGTTTGATTCTTGAGAATTTCAACCAAAATATTCCACAATTTCAACCAAAATGTACCACAAGTGTCTCTAAAGATCTCTCAAGCGATCCCACATTAGGTTTGTTGTAGTTTTTAGTGTTCTAGTGTCTCTTTGTTTTTTAGTTTCTGTGGTGTTGTTTGTATGTAGTCGCGTATGACTTTGAGGGGATGAGTGTTCCTCATTCCCCCTTGGTTCTATTGCTCGGTTTTCTCCTCTTCTTGAGCACCTAGAGTTGTAATCTTGTGATTACCAGTTGTAATCTTTGGTTGAGTTTAATATTATTTGGGGTGTCGTTTGGAAAAAAAAAAACAAAAAAACAAAAAAAAAGAGCATGTTGAACTATGCCTCCAACTCGACCAAAACATACCACAAATGTATTGTGCTGAGTAAAATGTACCACAAGTCTCTCATGGTCTCTCAAGCTATCATGAGTACGTTGATCTATGCCTCCTCTTTCATAAAATGAAATCGTACCATAAAATGTCAAAATTTAAAAAATGTACATAAACTGAAATCGAAGTAAATGTTATTCATTCTGCAATTGCGCCAAAAAGTAAATAATGTTTTCACTTTCAAAGAACCTTAAAATCCAATCAAAGGAATATAAAGCGTTGTCACTCTTATCATCTTCATGATGATATGTAAGCATAAATTCCAATTTTAACATAAAAACTAAACCTCAACAATAAACTGTGATATTTCAAGGGTTAACTCAGAACCACATTGAGTCTCAGGACTCTCAACTTGCTTTTGAACACCAACTCTAATAAGATGGAAAAAAATAAAATATCTGAATGACGCATTCCGGATTTACACACACACACAAAAAAAAAGAAAAAAAAAAAAAGAAGGCATGACAAGGTACAAGATTGTGACCTAAATATTATTACCATCAAAACAGAGATCAGATTTATGTTTGTAACATGGATATTTATCAAAGATCAGAAATCCAACCAAATATTGCTCCCGTAACTTATCTCCACCAATAAGATTATCTTGTCCTTACAATTCCAACATACTACTAAAAATCAACTTTTTGATGTCCCAATAGTCGAAATCTTGTAGGTTGCTGGTCTTCTTCAAGTTAACAAGTAAATATTCAAGCAGTCTGCAATTCTGGTTCTGGTTTTGGTTCTGAGGCAATCTCTTCAGTCTTTTTTGAGCAGGGAATGTACTTCCAGCAGCGCTTGTGGACCCCGCTTATTTTCTTTGCGGAATCTGCAGCTCGAATACCTGCAAATTGGAATAAAGCCATTGCTTCAGGTCTTATTAGCTTATATTTGTACCATACCAAAGAAACATCTAACTACCATTGATGGCTAGTTGCAAAAATTATCCTCGGGTTAAGCGTAAAGCCAAGAACTCAATTACCTTCGGAAACTACAAATACCTATCCAAATATTGTTAGTCATGTAAAGATGTACATCCAAGGAGGGTAACCGAAAGGTAATACGCATCTGGATGGGGGTATAGTTGCAAATTCAGAAAATAAATGTGGGGTTGTTTTCTGTTATAAGACCACCTGACCTCCATGGAAGCATTAATATTTATGCCTTTCATCAATGATCTTCAGATGATTAAGAATGCAACTTTTTCTATGTTTCAACTCAACAATAACCACCAAATAGTAAATAATCATAAAAATAATAGTAATAGCAATAAAGCCCTTGTAAGATGCCAACAAAAACCCTCCACAAGATTTGCCTTTTTCATAACACATCTCCCCAGGGATGCACTTCGTAAAACTAAAATAAAATGAAAACAAGTGTCATAAGATAGCTGGGATTTTTTGTAAAATGCTAAACCTCTGGTTTAATTACGTAATTAACTCTTCGTCTACAGATGGGTAACCACAAGCAGTAACACGTATGAAGAGAACATAACTAACTACAGACATCTATAAACACATATCAATTAGGTTTAGATAGAGTGGGTTATTACTGCAAAGACATTAGCTAGCAAAATTTAACGCATTCAAAATTGGATTATTCACATCAACAGACACCATGATGAAATCAGTGTATGATAGTGTTTTATTAATTAATTTTTTTTGCTATAAATCTGTAAATATTGGTATTTCTCTAGAAAATATTGTCACAACAGATTCTTCATTTTTCGATCATCTCACATGCATTAATCTTTCGCTAGTTGATGGATTTCTTTCACGAGTTGTTGAACAAAATATCTCAATGCAGAAACTCAAGTAAATCTAATATGGTTGATTACCTATAGGCCAATGAAGACCATAATCTTATCAAATACCATCATAAGACACTACAATCTATGAGCAAAAGGTAAATGAAATCGGAGAATTAAATTCAAGTTGTGCAGAACAACCAAACAGAAAACAGAATAATGAAAAAGTAAATGCATGGTTAGAAAAACTTATGAGAGAATGCAAAGAACTAAAGCTCTTTTATGTTCCGTTTTACTTTCTTTTTTCACCGTAGACTCATCAATGTCCATATCAGATATAAAAACTACACAAACTGAACCATGCACCAAACAGAGTTAAAACACTTGGGATCATAATTTAGAAGGATAAGTTCACAATCAATCATGTTAGTCATGTTTCAATGTTGAGGTTACAAGAATACGCAGCAGCCTACCATAAGCCCCTCCCAAAACTAATTCACTTCATTTGGAAATCATGACAGCTGAGCAGGACATTTTTGAACTGCAAGGAAAAATAGCATTTTTTCCCTCTACTATAATTCACATTGCTTCCCCTTGGAAATGGACAACCGAGTAAAAGTAATGAGTATCGAGTCCAGGCAAAAAATGATCTCAGCACATAATATATACCCTCTAGAACTAAATTTCTTTATTTAAGGCTCATGGAATTGAAAAACAAAAGCAAAGAAAAAATAATATAGCTTACACCCAACATTAAATACACAGGGAGGGAAACAGACTATCCTTTATCCTGAACCCACGAACAATTTTCAACTCATCATATAAAATGACAAACGCAATCAACATAGAAAGGCATACCATCCTTATGAACAATCCCCCAAGCCTTACCATGCCGCCCGTCCTGGGACAAAAAAAATGTAAAATGAAGAAGAGCAAATGAAAGGAGATACTGCAAATCCTTTTTAATAACATTAAACCTTAAAACAGCTCGATTAACAATTAATACAATGTCCATTACGAAATATTGAGATTTATATCGATTAAATACAGCTAAAGGAAGAACAGAAAAGATTGAAAGAAAAAGTAACCTTATAGAGGTTAATTTTAGTAATCTCGTAAGAAACCCCAGTCCAGTGAGTTTTTGCCATGTGATAGCCAATACCCCAGTTAGGCAGAAACTGAGCAACCTCGAACAGGTTCTTTTTCTTCTTCCGCTTCGGCTTCTTAGGTCCGCCGCCAGGCACCGCCGCACTCACGGCGGAATTGTCGGTGGAAGTGGCGGTGCTCAGATTGCGGAGGAAACTGAATGCGCTTCTAAATAGGACCGATGTACTTTCAACCGTCGATGGTGTCCTTCTCGCTAATAGACGGATCGCCATTTCCACACTATTGGGCAGCTCTGATCACTGAATGAGCTGTATTAGATTTAAGAGGGTTTTAAGCTCCGGTAGCTATCCTTATAAACCCTATATTTATGGAATCAAATAATTTAATAATATAATATTATTTATTCTGTCGAAAAAAAATAGGTATACCAAATAATTTAACATAATAATATAATAATATAACGTTCCTGATTTACCAAAAATTAATATTGGTTTTGATTTATATCCAAATATTTTCTGTTATCACTAATAATCTTCTTCTCGTAATTATCTAGGATGCACAATGTGAAATATGCCGTTAAATCATAAGAAAATGAGTTTTTAGGATAAATAACCCGAGTTTGATTGTGTTCATTTCTCTAGAAGCAGCATACATGGAAAGTTTTAATTTATACATAAAAACATTTGTAAAATTCAATTTGTGGATATAAAATGCGTGGATGATTTATTAAAATCTATATAAAATAAGAATAAGGTTAAATCATTATAAAAAAAAAATATACTCAAAATCTACACTTTATGGTAACAACTTTTTTGATATTCTAACAAAAATTAAACTTCATCCAGTAAATCATATCGTTAGTATTTATCACATACATATGTTCACTATAATTTTATTTTGTGGTGTTAACAATCCGAAAATCAGCAACTAATTAGAGAAATGAGGTGTCTATGCAATTCGCAATTACCAAGTGGAAAGCATCTTGGTAAATATCGATCTACAGTTGTCAAGTGCAAAATAATTTTGCATGAAAAAAACAAGGATTTTAATAATATATGACTTTGTCATGATGAACATTTTATGATTACCTGACAAATGCTCTACGTATTATAATTTATTGATTAATAGCCTTTAATTATAAATTTTACTAAAACAAATACAGCCCGTGCATCGCACGGGATTACGTACTAAGAACACTTGATCTCTTCTTCATTCTTTGAAAAACTGTAAGGAAGGACTTCAAAGGGCCATTGTTATTTAGAATTTTTCAGCAGGTCTCTCCCTTTCTCTCTCGGCAAAATATCCTCAACCTCTCTAAATTCTTCCCGGCAACAAGACGTGCACCACCAGGCCACCAAGAGTCGTTGCACACATTGTCGAGCCGCTCGCAGCCGCCGAGAGTTGTAACCATGTGCCTTGCCGAACCGTCCACGAACACATCGCAAGCTTCAGTCCCGTCTCGCTGAAGGAAGCTGCAAGCAAACCGTCGAGTCCACAAGCAGCTGCAACAGCCGTGTCGAGGCTGTGAGCAGCCAAGGTCCACCATTGAAGAGAAGATTCGAGTGAAAGCATGTCCTTTTCAACCAATGCTTAGATTTCAGAAATCTGATTCGTTCATCCGTGCTTGTAGATTCCCGAAGTACGGTAATTTTTCTAAGCCGATGTGGAAATTCTTTTTACAGAATTTTGCTAGATTATTTTGGAGAAGAACTTGGTGTTTATGTGAAAAATTGTGGAATATGCAACTCTCATTTGTGTCTTGTTATATTTTGAAAAATTGAAATGTTTCGAATTTTTGAAGCCTTGTTGATATCTTGGATTTTTGTGAAAAAATCTTGAAAACGTTGGAAATTTTTTAAAGCCTCTTTGATGCTTTGAGAAAGGTTTCTTTGAGAGCCTTTTTATGACTTGAAATAGTACCTTGTTGCCTTGGAAAAATAATACTTTGAGTTTGGGTTCTTGAGACTTTGGAAAAAAACAATCCAAAAATTTGTGTGTTGTTGAGCCATAAAAATGTCAGACCTGAACCTGGCCGAGGTGCCGCTGTGTGCCGGGAGTCGTGACCCAGCTGCCGTGAGTACCAGACGACCTGCAGCCTTTGCAGGCGCAGCCGAGCACTGGCCTCGCAGGCGCCATGCGCGCAAGTGAAGAGTGCAACGTGCCGCGAGCCGCACCCAGCCGTCTCGTGTTTTGCCGCAGACTGCTGTCACACGAGTACCGCGCGCCCCTCCCTACGAGTGTCCCAGCGAGTGCGCACACGAGCAGTGTCTCTTTACCATCTCCCAAACCCCGAACGCAACCTGGCAGCGGCCAAGCGAGCATGCGTGCGTACAACCTAGAGACCAGGCACACATCGAGCAAGGCGCTCCAGGCGACTCGGGACAATAGCAATTATCCAGAGCCACCGCCGGACCAGCCGCACCAAACCAGCTCTAAGCCAAGTACCTTAAGCCATTTTCGACCTTTGACCATATTTTTAAGTCGTTCACTTGTTTGAATTGTTTTTCGTGCCAATACATATTTTTTAGCTTTTTTAACCATTTCCGAGTCTTGTTCACCATTTATCGGAAGTTCTAACTTTTTCACAAATTTAAAGAAAGTACTTAATCAAATTAATTTTAATTAAGTTGAAAGTTAATATTTTCCAAGAAAATGAGTTAAGTTATTTATGGAGGCTTTGTACTCAAAATGTTGATTTTTGAGTAGTCGAGCCTCCAGAGTTGTTCTGTGAGGCATCAGTTTTTCGTCATCTACATTTCATCACCACCTCAGAGTATCAGGTGGGGGTTTCTATACTATGGTTTATTTTGTATAACTATGTGGTAGTATAGTCTTTATATGTATGTGATTGTGGACTAGTGGGCCGAATATGATAGTTGTGTGAGAATTTCCTACTAGCGGTATCGGTTGATGTCGAGGGCATTAGAAGCGGTTGATTCCGAGTTTACTTACTAGCGGGATCGGCAGATGCCGAGGGCATTAGTAGTAACTATTTACTAGACCAACAATTCATGAACTTAGGTTAACGGTATATAATGGTAAAAATCCAGTTGAATTATGTAAGCTTGAAATAAGAATCACTAGTCCGAATTTACCAGGAGGCTCAAAGCCGGTTTACCATGGCGGCTTTAAATAAGAGTCACTAAGCTGGGTATTTATCAGTACAACAGTTGAGGTTTACCATGGCGGATTGAAATAAGAGTCACTAAGCCGGGTAATTTATGCAGTTAGACAGTTGAATATTTCATGTTCATATGATTATTATCCTATCTGTGATTATGCTGAATTGATGCATAGTATAAATATTACCACTGAGCTAGAGGATTGCTCACCCCATTGTTTTTCAGGTTGATCCAGGTAGTGGCGGTCACGAGAGGACGAGCGTGGTCATCATTTAATTATGTTCTTATGTTTCCGCAAACTTGTTATGAAAAACATTGTTGGTTTGGTTATTTCATACTTGAACTGTTTCGAACTATGTTTTTGGATGATCGAAACTTTTAATACTTTAAAGTGAAAAATGAGTAGCATCCGAAAGTTGTTTTTGGGAAATGATTTTTTTTCTTTTCTTAAGTTCAAATTATTTATGAAAAACCTGTGTTTTCTTTAAAATAAGTAAGCGAACGTTACACATGGTATTCGAAAGGGGGCAAAAGGGTCGTCGTTGTTTTCAATTCACTTGGTTATCTTCATCGAGATGGGTTACTTTCTAGTGGTCCCCACCACTATATACATCAATTTTCATGGATCGACTTGACCGACTCGGGTATTGATCGGGTTGGGTCATCTTGGTTGACTCAGCCATGTATATAATTCTATTTTTAGAAAAATCAAAATAAATATATATTTTATTTTGTAAATGCTTTTGACAACATTTAATATTAGTTAGACTTTGAGATATAAAATTTACATATATACTATTTATTTTTGTTATTTTTTTTTAATAATTTTATGATAAAAATAATGTAAACATAATTTAAAATTTTTTGATATCTGATTCAACAATCAACCTGGTGACCCGATGGTTGTACCAACCAATGATTTAAATATCGTACCGTACCAGCCGGTAATACCGGATACCGGCCATTGGTATGGTACTATTATACACAAAATATCGGATTTACGGTTATACCGGTTTGTACCGGAATTATACCGTAAATACCAGAAAATTACCGGTCAATAAAAAAAAATTAAAAAAATAAATAAATTTATTAATTTAAAAACATAAAATTTAAATTGGTAATTAAAATGTTTTATTTTTATCTCATTGAGAAATTGATATTAATTATTATAGTAATTTATTTTATTACTTTTTTGAATTTGGTATTATATATTTTTATTTATATTTATATATATTATTATATTTTCTAGTCCGGTAATACCACCGATATTATCGGTTCAACTGGTAATACCGCGTACCGCTAGACCGGTATGACCACCGGTATGGTATTTAAAACACTGGTACCAACGACCTAGTGTCTTGAAGGCAAGCCCGGGTTACTCGGTCGGGTTCTAATATTAACTGAAACAAAATCGAGGAAAAAAATTACTCAGAGAAGATATTCTTTCATTATTTTTAAAGACTTTCGGTGATTTTTGGAATATTGGTGCACTTAACTTAGGATATGTATTTGTTTAAGACTTTAAAGACCTTTTAATGTTATGGAAATTTTTGTTGTATTGAACTCTAGTTTTTTTAAGAAATTTAAAGTCTAGAGGTATTTATTGGAGATAATTTTTTTTAAATAAAAGTTGTGAAGTATTTAACTTATTATAGGTTGTGATTTATTAAGATTTTTTTAGATTTGTAGAGATTTCAAAATAAAAAACCATATATGATACTTGACTTTGAACATCCAATTATAAAATTTCATAGGATTCATCTCAAATATGGAAATTTAAAAAGTCTGAGATCATAATATGTCTTAAAATATCACTTAAAATTTGAAACGGGTAGACTTAGATTTTTAAAAATGCCTAGGTATTCATTTGAGAATTCAAAAAATTTTAAGAAGGCATCAACTATTTATGAGAATTCATTTGAGATTTTAAAAAATGCCTAGATATTCAATTGAGAATTCAAAAAAGACATTAATATTTAGTATATTATCCTTTATTCTCAGAACAATTTTTTGTTTGATTTACATCATTAATTTGAATGAGAAAAAATCCGTAATTGTTGGGATATCTCAATTAAAAATCTCAATTTTTTGACATATGAATCTCTAAATTTGTTACCAATAAAAGGAGGATTCATATGAGATTCAAAATGAATTAAATTTTGTCATAATAATCTCCAAATTTGTTGCTATAAGAATCTCTATGTTTTTTGGGATATCTCAATTAAATTTGATTCTTAAAGATTCACATGTTTTTTTTTTTTCAAAATTTCTTCTAATAGTCGATCAAATCATTTATTATTTTTAGTCAGCTTACTATAAATGTATTTATCCAACAACCTTTTTATATTACTATAGATTTTAACGAATTATCAAATTTTAAAACATAATAACATTACCTAACTTATAATTTTAATATTATATCCATAAATATTACTTATAATACTCTATGTTTATAATATAATATCATTATCTAACTAATAATTTAATATTATATGCATACGTATAACTTTTAGTACTTTACTTGCATCTGTGCAAATGCGTCGAATACTAGTGAGAGTTAATTTGAATTTTTTTTTTTTGACATCTTAAGATTATTTATATTTAAAAAATTTGTAATATTTCTTATTTTAATGAAGCTCTTATAAATTTTAAATTTAAATGTGGAAATTTGGTAATTTGACCTATTTAATTTATGTTTGAATTTGACAAAATCTTATAAAGTCCTAACTATAATGTTAAATACTTATGGAATGCTTGTTTATGAAATAATTTGCTAACATTTATTTCATACTCAAAATCTAACTCAATTTTAACTCAACTCCACTATCCTTGATATTATTTATATAATTAAATATTATAAACCAATCATTCTTACATATCACATCAACTTTCATTCAATATTCATCAACTCACGTAATTTTAACTACCTATCATTTCCAATCATTTATCTCTTATTTTTACATTAAATTAAATAATAATTATTTTATTTTAAATATTATTTTAATATATTATTAAAATCCCACTGACAATTAAATATAACACATTTTTCTATAGTTAATCAAAATAACTCTGAGCAAATTATTTCATAAACTTAAATACCTTGGCTTTTTAAATTGAATAGTTTTAATTGAATTAGAAAACCCACCAAATTCCTCGAGAGAAATGAGGGCGGACTCTCCTCAACCGCCGAAACAGGCGGCTGCAGCGCCGCCGCACCCGGAGGAAGACGTCACCGGAGAGCCCCTCGCCCGACCCACCGCCGGAAGTGCGGGCGCTGGCATCGGGGTCGGCGGTCTCCGGAAGAAGGCGGCGGGCGTTAGGGCGTGGCTGAAACTGGACTCGACGGGCCAGGCGGAGGTCGTGGAGGTCGGAAAACACGTCATCATGAGGTGGACGGGGCTCCCGGCCCGAGATCTCCGTATACTCGATCCGCTGTTGTCTTATCCGTCGACCGTGCTTGGCCGTGAGCGTGCCATTGTCATTAATCTGGAGCACATAAAGGCTATTATCACGGCGCAGGAAGTTCTCTTGCTCAATTCCAGAGATCCTTCGGTGATTCCGTTTGTCGACGAGCTTCAGAGGAGAATTTTGCGTCACCAGCAAGCTGTCAAGTCCCAGGTTCCTTCTTCCCCACCCGTCCGAATTTTATCGATAGATTTAAAATAATCGTGATTTAAACGCTAATTTTTCTGTGATTAGTGTGAATAAGATTCTGTTTCTGGTTTAGATTTTTATTTGAGTTGATCATCATGGCTCAATTTGTTGGTACTCGTTGATTATTTCAGTGAATTTGTTGCTTGCATGAATTTGTGTATGTTTTTTGGCATGCATAAGCAGATGTTAATTGTGAAATTGGGCCAAACCTCAAGGTTTGGTTTTGTTATTGTTCCTGTATTTGGTATAAAAATTAATAATATCTCATAAGGTGGGCATAATGGTTTTGTTAAGGAAACTGGAGATGGTGAAAATGCCAACTGGACGAACTTGTATGATATAGAAGGGCCTCAGGCGGTACCACTAAATCCCTCAAATCGCTCGAATAATTTCCCAAGCAAGGAAGATGGAGTGGAGGTAGAAGGGAAAGAACAATCTCCCGAGAATCGTGATGGCCCAAAGTTGCTGCCGTTTGAGTTTGTTGCATTAGAGGCGTGCCTCGAGGCTGCTTGCAGTTGCTTGGATAATGAAGTATGGAACTATTTTCTAGTCTTTTGGTGCTTATAATTCAATTTCTAGTCATTTATTGCTTTTATAATTTATAATTATTAAATGTGATATTTTTCCTGCTCTGGTCTCAAACTAGGCAAGGACATTGGAGCAAGAAGCTCATCCAGCATTAGATAAATTGACTTCGAAGATAAGTACACTAAATCTGGAACGCGTGAGGCAAATTAAAAGTCGGCTGGTTGCTATAACTGGTCGTGTTCAAAAGGTTTGGATGGAGTAATTTTGCGTCAGTTCATTTCTGTAATGGGTTTAGTCGCATAATTGTTTGACCTTGAATATGAAATTTTGTGTCATCTCTTGTAGAAGTGTTAGAAGAGACTATTGTCTATTTTAAGCGAATCTTCGTTTATTTTCCTTCCAAAAAAATATACTAATCGTTGATTGATTCTTGACTGTTATTTGGAAAGTGACGTTGGCTCAGCAATTTGAATTATTATTATCCTTTCACTGGCTGAGGTTGAAAACTTTTAGATGCATTAATAAAATCAAATTTGACTCTCAAAGATGCAAGTGAAGCAGCAACTATGCCCGCCTTTATGTTATTCTCTAGCTGCTAAATATCTTGCTCTGGATAAAATTCTTATGTTGACCGTGTTATTTGTCTTGGTAAGAAAACTTGGTATATGAAAAATGTGAACTTGTATGTTGGGTTGCTCTTGGATAAACCATTATCAACTCCTATGATTTGAAATATTGTTTTAGGTTTATTTAATTTTTGTTTAGCTGCACATATTCATGAGATACATTTTCCTCT